AAGGAGGTCCCCGACATGAAGATGGCCTCGTACTTCAGGAGGACGGAGCTGTTCATGGACGACATGAAACACGGGAACATTTCACTGAAGATCCTGAACGTGTCGGAGGAAGACAACGGCAGATACAGATGTTTCATCCCCAAGCTGCAGAGCACAGTCAAGTCTGCAATCGTTGAACTTGTAGTCGGTGAGAAGATTTGTTTGTTTGTTTGTTTTTAGCCATTTCCAAAGTTTCAGCCTCATTTTACAAACAGATGCTGACTATGTGTCTCTTTTAGATCCAAATTTCTCTGATACCTCGACGATGGAGATGCTGCTGCTTCCTAAAAACCTCCAAACTCCTGATCCTCAAGATGTGACTCAGAGAAATGGTGAGAAAACACTCCAACTGTTCTCTGCATCGTTTCTATTTTTGTGAAGTTTTTTTTCTAAACTGTATGTTTGTTTCGACCTTGTTCATTTCTACATCAGTAGGTCGGTCCAGGGTCTTTGTGGGCGTCGCTTTCATGGCCTTAATATCAGTTGCTGCTTTTGCAGCATATTTTTCCCTTCGCCTGGTTCAGAAACAAAAAGTAAGAAACAAACTCAAACATGTTGTTGCTTCTTGTGCCCTCAGACTGACTCATTATTTAACTTCTTTTAACAGAAACATCGAGAGGATGAAGGGACCCAAAGCCAGCTATGACAATCTAGCTGTATTGCTTAAAACAGGCTGATGATAATATTTCATGAAGCATTAAAATTTATCTTTACAGGATCTTCACAGCAGACTCTCCTGTCCCTTCCAGCTCATCGTCCTCACCACACCAGCCACACAGTCGCCCTTCTTTGCTCTGGTTTGTCGCCGTGCCCCCAGTCACCCACCTTCTTCCTGCCACCACACTCCTAAGCCACGCTGAGAGTTGTCCCGCCATCGTTCATAATGCCTGAGGTGTGCTGGTGTCCAGTAGAGCCATTTGAGGGTCTCCGATGCTAGCCTCCCAGCCAGCCCTCACATCTCGGGGCAGAGGCCTCTGTCACTGGCCCTAGATCTTCTCCCATTTCTGGCCAACTCTGTGAACTCTTAATTTATGTTTTGGACTTGTGTGCGCCCACTTTGTCTTGTGTCCTTGTCTTTTTCCAACTCGCACACTCACACTTGGATAACATTTTAATCAGTGGGAAAACTTTGGTAGGTAGAAAAGAAACTGAAGGTGAGACTGGAGTGGAGATAGATAAAGCAGCAGTGGGATGGACTTCTCCATCTCCATATTTTGGTACCCCACAAAGAGTGTGACGTTGAACAACATCCCAGCAGCAACAGGTTTAGTCCCAAGAACTACACACTTTGCCAGGAGTACTGCTGCTGATGTTGAAACTCAGAAACCAGTCTTACTTGTTATCATCTATCGTCCACCTGGGCCTTACACAGAGTTTCT